ACTGAGCCTCTTGGGCTTGCTGATCGGAAAGGTCGGCGGTTCAAATCCCTGCGATAGGGTGAGCTCCCGTTTCTCTGTCCCAGTTCCTGCCAACCTAGCAGTCTGAAAGCACACTAGTGCAGGTAGATAAATAGGTACCACTGCGGTGGGAAGGTAAACAGCATTTCCGTGCGGTCTGGCTTCCATCACAGTGTTCCGTTGCACCAAAGCAGTTTAGTCCTGCTGGCCACATGACCTGGAAAGCTATCTGTGGACAAACACCAGCTCCCTCAACCTGAAGTGAGATGAGCACTGCAACCCCATAGTTGCCTTTGACTGGACTTAACTGTCCAGGGATCCTTTACCTTTACCTTACTTTCCAGACACTCACTCTCACTTGCTTTTGGGAACGGCTCACAGAATCACAGAGCTGGAAGCAAGGAAGTCTAGACTAGGGTTTCCCAAAATTGGGTCTCCAGCTGCTTTTGGACTACAACTCCAGTTATCTCTAGCTAGCAGGACCAGCGGTCCGGGACGATGAGAAATGCACCCCAAAAATTCTAGAAACAAGACCCATAATTCTGTATGAACCAAGTACGCCTTCTCCTCATGACTGAGGATCTGTAGACATCTCCTACACACCTGGGATTTTAGGGCACAACTTCTGAGCCACGGATCTGAGTAGGGCTGAGCCAAGGCATCATGCAACTTAAGAAATTGAGCTAGCCTTGCAAACAGATCCACAAAACTTACTTGCCCAGCTGCCAACAGAACTTTGTAGCACATCGAAGGTCCAACAACAACATGACACCAACACCACAAACCCCAATGCACCTCCAGTTTTACAAATCTCCATCAGGTCACCTGGAGGAGAGTCTTGCTCTCCTCAGGCAACTACAGAAGTGGTTAACAGAAGTCTGAGCTGATTACCAACTCCAAAGCTCAGCCAGCCAGCTCTCAGATCTACCCAGGACTCATCCCGCTAACATAAGGCAGATTCAACAGCTTGCACAACAAGCTTCTCATGTGACCTCTTCAAATGAAGCAGCTTGAATGGGTGGCTGAAGACTGTCTCTTTTTGCTCACGTAGCAGCAATGGTTTTTGAATTCTGGTGCTGGAGGAGACTCTTGAGAGTCCCATGGACTGCAAGAAGATCCAACGTATCCATTCTGAAGGAAATCAGCCCTGAGTGCTCACTGGAAGGACAGATCCTGAAGCTGAGGCTCCAAGACTTTGGCCACCTCATGAGAAGAGAAGACTCCCTGGAAAAGACCCTGATGTTGGGAAAGATGGAGGGCGCAAGGAGAAGGGGACGACAGAGGACGAGGTGGTGGGACAGTGTTCTCGAAGCTACCAACATGAGTTTGACAAAACTGCGGGAGGCAGTGGAAGATAGAAGTGCCTGGCGTGCTCTGGTCCATGGGGTCACAAAGAGTCGAACACAACTAAACGACTAAACAACAACAAAGCAGCAGTGGTAGCAGATGTGCAACACTTAGGAGGGAGGGTGTGAGTTTCACCAGCGATTTCTTTGTCTCTTGGAGATCAGCTTCTCCCAAGTTCTACTAATTAAGATCCCAAAGCAGACAATAAGCACTGAGTACAGTTTCCCCAACTGCACTGAGTACAGTTTGACCAAACTGCGGGAGGCAGTGGAAGACAGGAGTGCCTGGCGTGCTCTGGTCCAGGGGGTCACAAAGAGTCACACACGACTAACCAGCAACAACAACAGTTTCCCCAGATTTCAGACAGCCAAGGTCCAATTTTCTCCTGAATTAAAACTGGGGACATGCATCTTACTGTTCCGTTCTAGAAAGCATTTGCCTTTTTGAACTTGTAATATTTGCATGTGTCCAGCTACCTTCTGCATGAAAGCCAGTGTGGCATAATGGTTCAGAGTGTTGGACCACAGACCTGGGAGAGAAGGGTTCAATTCTGCACTTAGCCATGAAGCTCACTGGGTGACCCTGGGCCAGTCACCCTCTCTTAGTCTAACCTACCTCACAGGGCTGTTGTAAGGATGAAAGAGAGGAGGAGAACCACATACATCACATTGGACAGCTCCTTGGAAGAAAAAAGTCATAAATAAATGAGAGCCTGAGGGCCCTGCTCCTGCCTCTCTCCCCAGGCCCAGGGCAGGGCCTGACAGGGTTTATAAGCACTGCTGCTGCTGCTGCTGAGCAGAGAGAGCTTTTTCTTTTAAATTGGTTTTAATTTGATTTTTATATCCTTTTAAATTGGTCTTTTTAGTGTTTTAACTGTTTTTAACTGGGTTTTAGGGACGCGGGTGGCGCTGTGGGTAAAAGCCTCAGCGCCTAGGGCTTGCTGATCGAAAGGTCGGCGGTTCGAATCCTCGCGGCGGGGTGCGCTCCCGCTGCTCGGTCCCAGCGCTTGCCAACCTAGCAGTTCGAAAGCACCCTTGGGTGCAAGTAGATAAATAGGGACCGCTTACTGGCGGGAAGGTAAACGGCGTTCCATGTGCTGCGCTGGCTCGCCAGATGCAGCTTGTCACGCTGGCCACGTGACCCGGAAGTGTCTGCGGACAGCGCTGGCCCCCGGCCTATAGAGTGAGATGGGCGCACAACCCTAGAGTCTGGCAAGACTGGCCCGTACAGGCAGGGGTACCTTTACCTTTACCTTAACTGGGTTTTAAGGGCATTTTGTGGGATATTCCTGGGAGGAGAGGAGTGATGGAGAGCAGGGGGAGGTATGGTATGGGAGGAGGGGCAGGACGGGTAAGGGGCACACAGCACAGGCAGATAGTGACTGTGCCTTGTGCCAGTCCCTCCCCCAACCTGGGGAATTGTGGCTGCCATATCATCCAGCCCTTGGGTCTGCTGTTGAATGCCAGGTCAGCCCAGGAAACCATCTCCCTCATCCATGATCTGATTATGGGGGAAGAGGCTGATCTACCATGTCTCAATGAAACCTGGGTGGGTGAACAGGGTGGAGTTGGTCTCACCCAGCTGTGCCCACCTGGGTACTCACTGCAGCATCAGGCCAGACTCGAGGGTTGGGGAGGGGAGTCTATAGAGATTCTCTCTCTATCTCCAGGCTCTCTGTCCAGTTGGGGGGGCTGTTCCTGGAACTGGGCAATCGGGACAGATTAGGGATTCTGCTGGTTTACCGCCCACCTCACTGCCCAGCAGTCTCCCTGCCTGAGCTGGCAGGGCTGGTCTCAGAGGCAATGTTGAGGAGTTCCAGACTGCTGGTTCTGGGAGAGTTCAACATCCATGTCAAGGCAGCTGGCTCAGGACTTCATGGCCGCCATGACAACTATGGGGCTGTCACTGGCCCAACATGTCACTGGCAGGCCACACTCTGAACCTTGTTTTCTCAACTGGGCAGAGGTTAATTTGAAAGTGGGAGACATTGACATCAGTCCCTTGTCATGGTCAGATCACTTCCTGTTGAGATTTAGGCTGTCAGTAGCTTTTCCCCTCCACAGAGGTGGGAGGCCTATTAGGAAGGTCTGTCCTCAGAGGCTGATAATAATAATAATAATAATAATAATAATAATAATAATAATAATAATAATAATTTATTATTTATTATTTATACCCCGCCCATCTGGCTGGGCTTCCCCAGCCACTCTGGGCGGCTTCCAAAAAATATATTGTAATACTGTAATACATCAAACATTAAAAGCTTCCCTAAACAGGGCTGCCTTCAGATGTCTTCTAAAAGTCTGGTAGTTGTTGTTCTCTTTGACATCTGGTGGGAGGGCGTTCCACAGGGAGGGCGCCACTACTGAGAAGGCCCTCTGCCTGGTTCCCTGTAACTTGGCTTCTCGCAGTGAGGGAATCGCCAGAAGGCCCTCGGTGCTGGACCTTAGTGTCCGGGTAGAACGATGGGGGTGGAGACGCTCCTTCAGGTATACTGGACCGAGGCCGTTTAGGGCTTTAAAGGTCAGCACCAACACTTTGAATTGTGCTTGGAAACGTACTGGGAGCCAATGTAGGTCTTTCAAGACTGGTGTTATATGGTCTCGGCAGCCGCTCCCAGTCACCAGTCTAGCTGCCGCATTCTGGATTAGTTGTAGTTTCCGGGTCACCTTCAAAGGTGGGATGGATCCAGTGGGATTCCACACAGCTTGGGGGGGAGGGGTTTCCGGCTGATATGACTGGAGCCCCTGTTGAAGCCCTGGCTGACCTTTGGAACACCAAAACAGGCTATTAACACGATCGCCCCTGAGCGTCCTCTCTCACTTCATGGAGCTCCATGGTATACTCCAGAGCTTAGGACGAGGAAACGAGCTGGAAGACGGCTTGAACGCAAGTGGAGGAGAGATCCGAATGAATGCAATCAAACACTGGTAAGGGCTCATTATTGAGCCTATCTAGTGGCAGTGAAGGCAGCAAAGAAGGCATACATTGCTGCCTCCATTGCATCCTCCTTATGTCATCCAGCAGAGCTTTTCCAGGTTGTACAGGGCCTTTTCTCCAGAGCACAGTCTAGTCCTGTTGTGTTGAATGAGTTTTAGTTGGAAAGGCTTGAGGATGTAGACAGGGTGCCTTCTCTGAAGTGGCTCCCTGACTGTGGAATGCTCTCCCAAGCGAAATTCGCTTGGCGCCTTCATTATACATCTTTAGGCGCCATGCAAATATGTTCCTTTTTAACCAGGCCTTTGGTTGATTTGATTGACATCCTATGTCCTTTTAAAATGTGGGGTTGTTGCGGGGGGAGGTTATTGGGTTGTTGATTTTGTTCTGTGAACTGCCCTAAGACCTCCAGGTATAGGCCGGTTTATAAATTCAATCAATCAATCAATCAATATAAAAAAGAACTGGATCTGGGTATACCTCTTGACTGGAACATGTAAAGTGCAAAACAGAAGGAAGCTCCCAAGCAGTCTCTTGCTACAATGAAAGATCCCTTCCCACCCGTTAAAAAAAATTAAAAATTAGCATCCAAACTGTATAAATAGGAAGAGATTTTCTGCACAGCACCCCCAAAATGCCCAAAACAAATACGTAGAGCTGCACATAGGCACCTCGCTGGGGCAAATTGAGAGCAGTACCTTCAGGGAGAAGCCCCTCTGCGCAGTTTCAGACATCACAGCACCCTCGGTGTTCGGCACAATCCTTTGAAGGGCATTTCTGAAAAGGAAAAGGAAGGGGAGGTTAGAGGGCAGCAAGCAATTAGCAGGCAGCAAACATTCCATCTTTATAAAAAGGACACATCATAAAAATTACCAGAGGACACAATCAACCAGATGTATTAAAAGCACTGCCGCCCAGAACATCACAGGCCTCTTCCCTCTGGAGGGTGTTAGGAATGACAACTCAAAGTGGAAAGAGAGGGCAATGAATTTCCAAAAGCTACGGCAGGCAAGAGCAGCCACAACCGCTCGTCTCCTGGATATTTATAGCTCCCCTCAACACAGAAAGCTCAAGGACAGCCACAAAACACCACTGCAAAATATGCAGTGCATGGCTGGGGCAACCCAGTCAGATGGACTCATCATCATCATCATCATCCTACACCCAGTGTATGGGCAAAATCACCGCACACAACAGAAATGCCCCAAATGCCATTGTTTCGGCTAATTCAGCTTTATTCAAGCAACTCACATGATTGGTTCATCTAGAACACCTCTTCAGGGTCTCAGGCAGAGGTCCCCGGTCACCTGTGATCAGAGCCTTCTGACTGGAGATGCTTGAGATGGTACCCAGGACAGTCCATATGCAAAGCATGGCAAACACTGCCACGGAGAGATAGCCCTTCCCCAGTCCTGCCAGCTTATCCCACGACCCTACAGGAGCAGCCCTAGAACAATAGCCTTCCAGTGATTCAGGGAAACATGAGGTTTTCTTCCCCTTCCTCAAGTTTCAAAGGGGAGGGAGGCTCTTTGCCGTCTACGCAGATTGTCTCCCCTAGACAAAAAAACCAAGCAGCAAGTCAAGAACAAACCTTGAGTAAAAAGGTAAAGGTAAAGAACACCTGGATGGTTAAGTCCAGGCAAAGGTGACTATGGGGTTGCGTCTCTCATCTCGCTTTCAGGCCAAGGGAGCCGGCGTTTGTCCACAGACAGCTTTCTGGGTCATGTGGCCAGCAGAACTAAACCGCTTCTGGTGCAATGGAACACCGTGATGGAAACCAGAATGCACAGAAATGCCGTTTACCTTCCCACCGGAGCGGTACCTATTTATCTACTTGCACTGGCATGCTTTCGAACTGCTAGGTTGGCAGGAGCTGGGACAGAGCAGCAGAAGCTCTGTTGACATTTCCATTCCACCTTAAGGAGCAGACGTGTGGAATTGTTGCGTGTCACATGTCTGTTTGCTGGGAACTTCAGTTGGGTATAGCTTTTGTTTTTCCCATTCTCTCTGAGACAACGAGAGAGAGAGAGACAACATGTTTCTTTGTCCTGATTTATGATTAATAAATCTGTAGTTGTAGTATGCTTCCACAAGCCTCACGCCTATTCTGTGTGCGCAGTTCGATCTGCTGATAGTGTGCCCTGGCTCAGAAGCCCGGGTCGCTGATTTACGTGGGAGCAAAGGTTATGGTCTTCGCAGCGGGACAGCTGGAAGGAGACAGCCCAGCCAGGGCTAGCCAGCTGACCTCCCAGCCCTCTGCATGCCGACAACCTCACCCCAAAACCTTGAGTGTGTGATTTGCCTGGACGGAGTCCAGGTCCTGACATCACCAGCCGCTTTCAGAGGCTGCTCAGGGCACTTCCATTTTTCAAGGACCCTGGCCAGTGGTGGCCGGTAGGGCAAGTTGGAGGCCACAAAGGGTACCAGGCCAGGGCTTACATGGCCTCTCCCAATTGAGACGTTATGGAGAAATCCAGTCAGCAGGTATCAGTGCACCTAAAGCACCTTGCCCCCCAAATCCTTGTGACCTCTCCCAACAACTTCATATACATACTACCCTTGTGAAGCTGGGATATCTCAGCTGGTTAATTTCAAGGTGGTGGGTTCAAGCCCTACGTTGGGCAAAAGATTCCTGCATTGCAGTGGGTTGGACTGGGTGACCCTTGCGGTCCTTTTTAACTCTACAGTTCTATGACTAAATAGCACTGGGGATAAAATAAAATAGCATAACCACCAGGGGGCCAAAAACCACTCTCCCAATGCTACCCTCTGGACTCGGTCCCATAGTGAGGACTGGAGCCACAGTAGCAGCGTGCTCTCCATTCCCATTCCTGCCCCATGGCTCTACAAGCTCTCACCACCAAGTCCCTCCCATCAGGGTATTTCAGAACCTGGGATAAAAACATTCTCGGACAAGATCCTGTTATGCAAATTCAGAAGCTCCGTAAGCAAAAAGGTTAACATTCATTGTTCATTTCATCATTTAAAGTCCTGACCTACCCAACGGTCAGGAGTCAGTTCAACAATGAAACAAAGTCTGTGTTTATTTTAAATTTAACTAGCGACATGCATCGTAAGACGTTTAACCAAAGGAAACTTAGAAAACAATGGAGCCAAATAAAAACCCTCGTTAAAAAATGTAAAAATCCAAAGCACTGGAAGAGAATGTATCAGCAGTACAGCTTTCCCTTGGGCTTTATCGCCAAAGGTATTGAATCCAGACTGATGTTCCTCCTTAGTTTAGCTTATGACCTATGGCAAATCACTGGCTCTCAACCAGACCTAAAGCACACAGCTGTTGTGAGGCTGATGTGCCACTTTTGAGCTCCTCTGATGAAGGCAACAAAATGCTATAGATAGATAGATAGATAGATAGATAGACAGACAGAGAGACAGACAGAGAGACAGAGACAGACAGATCTCCTCCCACTTGATAGACAGACAGACAGATATAGATCCCCTCCCACTTTTGCCATGCTGAGGACCAGAAACTTACATCTTTCTAAAAGTAATGACGAAAGTTGATTCCTTCTGGATCAGGCCAATGGCCCATCTAGCATCCTGTTTTCACAGTGGACAACCAGGCATTTACTGCCTGCAGCAGTGTGGAGGAACACAACCATTGTGGCTCCTACCCAACAATTGCTTTATCCTCCATGAATTTCGTCTTTAGAAGCCATCCAAAGTTGGTGGCCATCACTGCCTCTTGAGGGAGAGAATTCCACAGTTTAGCCACGCATGAAGTCCTTTATTCTAACCGCCCTGCGTCTTCTACATGAGCACAGCTCATCCCGATCCTGTTACGTCTACACATTTTGTGCGGAAGCCTTTATTCCGGATTCTGAACTTGCCTGGGCAGCTGAAGCGTCTGGTGTGTGACGTTTGTACAGAGCGATACCAGGAGAACAACGGACGGCGCGATCCGATCTAATACCTCAAGTGCCCTGGGTGCAGCAAACTGGCATGCGATGCACCTTTCCATTCACTCCCCACAACGGCAGGCTGTGAAGCTGCAGGCACGATACCATCAAACACACTCTGCTGAACAGAAGTAGGCCAGGAACGCCAGGCTCTGCCAGGCATAAACAGCGGTACACCCACCCCTTGCTGCTCGGCTAAGTATAAACCTGCAGCTTATTAATAGACCTGCGGCTTATTAATAGACCAAGATGTAGGAGCCCGTAAGGAAGGCAACGCCACACGACACTTCCCCGACCCAAACAAAAACCGTTTCGCATTCAAGAAGCTGGGGTCCTAGTGTGGCGTTTCACGTTCTCAGGAATATGCTTCCCTCCCTCACTTTTAAGCTCATCTAGGGAGGAACGACGAAATCCAGGGTTGGCAAAAGGGGACACCATCAAAAACAGGAAAGGGGGAAATGCCACCCTCACTGAATCAAGACTGCTTACTGCAGACCATCCACCCAAAGAATCTTTGAATCAGAAGTTTGTCCCTGCTGATTAGCTGCTTCTCTTCCTAAGTGTCGCAGAGGGGCCTCCTTCCAGGTAAATGCGCACATGATTCGACTGCAAGCCTTTTAAATAAACTTAGGGTTACAAGAGAAAGAGAAAGAGGGAGGGAGGGAGCGAAAGAGAGACTCTCCAAGCAGTGTTAGAAACTCAGATATTTAAGCTAACCATCAACTAGCACCTTAAACCTAGGTTACACTCACCACAACTGAATGTCTAGGTGCCTTTATTTACAATGAGATTTGTTATTATTGTTGTTGTTGTTATTACTAGTAATAGCATTATTAATTTCATTTCTAAAAAGCTTTTATGCTGGCTACGACCTACTTTGCTCCTTTGAGCATTAAATGAGAAAAGACAGTTTTATGGGGCCCGCGGACAGTCACTCTTTTCCAGAAGGGATTCAAAGGCATACCATAAATTTAGGTTTGCACAATTAAAATGGGTTAAACGTGCTGTCGCCGTAGCATAACTCTTTGAAAAAAAGGAAGACTTTTTGCAGTTAGGAAAGTTGTGAGGAAAGGCACTAAAGAGTGTGGGGTGACTGAATTGTTAACAGGAGGACTTGTAAGCAAAGCCCAAGCAAATCAGAATTAATGGTCATTGTCATCTAACCATCCCATAAACAAATCGGAACAAATGCTGACTAAAGACTGGGTATCATCTAACACAGGGGAAGGCAACCTAAGGTCCGTAGGCCGGATGCGGCCCAATCGCCTTCTCAATCTGGTCCACTGACAGTCCGGGAATCAACTTTTTTTACATGAGTAGAATGTATGTTTTTATTTAAAATGCATCTCTGGGTTACTTGTGAGGCATAGGAATTCATTCATTCCCCCTCCCCCAAAAAATATAGTCTGGCCCACCACATGGTCTGGGGGATGGTGGACCGGCCCACGGCTGAAAAAGGTTGCTGACCCCTGATCTAACCCATGGGTCGGCAAACTAAGGCCCCGGGGCTGGATCCGGCCCAATCACCTTCTCAATCCAGCCTGCGGACGGTCCGGGAATCAGCGTGTTTTTACATGAGTAGAATGTGTGCTTTTATTTCAAATGCATCTCTGGGTTATTTGTGGGGCATAGGAATTCGTTCATCCCCCCCCCCCAAAAATATAGTTTGACCCCCAACAAGGTGAACCAGCCCCCTGCTGAAAAAGTTTGCTGACCCCTGATCTAACCCATGGGTCGGCAAACTAAGGCCCGGCGGCCGGATCCGGCCCAAATGCATTTTGAATCTGGCCTGCGGATGGCCCAGGAATCGCCGCGTGGATCGGTGTGGCGATTCTGATCATTCGGGCTGCGCCATTC